TGATAGGTATACCAGAAGGGGATGAAGAGAATGAATCCAAGCTGGAAAATACTCTTCAGGACATCATCCAGGAAAATTTCCCCCACCTAGCAAGACAGGCCAACACTCAATTGCAGGAAATACAGAGAACACCACAAAGATATTCCGCAAGAAGAGCAACCCCAAGGCACATAATCGTCAGATTCAACAGGGTTGAATAAAGGAGAGAATACTAAGGGCAGCCAGAGAGAAAGGTCAGGTCACCCACAAAGGGAAGCCCATCAGACTCACAGCAGATCTCTCGGCAGAAACACTAAAAGCCAGAAGAGAGTGGGGGCCAATATTCAACATTCTTAAAGAAAAGAACTTTCAACCCAGAATTTCATATCCAGCCAAACTGAGCTTCAGAAGTGAAGGAAAAATAAAATCCTTTGCGAACAAGCAAGTACTCAGAGATTTTGTCACCACCAGTACCTGCTTTACAAGAGCTCCTAAAAGAGGCACTACACATAGAAAGGATCAACCAGTACCAGCCATTCCAAAATCACACTGAATGCTAAAGAGCTTCAACATAATGAAGAATCTACAACAACTAACAGGCAAAACGGCCACTTAGCATCAAAATGGCAGTATCAAATTCACACATAACAATATTAACCCTAAATGTAAATGGACTAAATGCACCAATCAAAAGACACAGACTGGCAAATTGGATAACAATCCAAAACCCATCAGTGTGCTGTATCCAGGAAACCCATCTCACATGCAAGGATACACAAAGACTCAAAATAAAGGGATGGAGGAAAATTTACCAAGCTAATGGAAAGCAAAAAAAAGCAGGAGTTGCAATTCTCATCTCTGATAAAATAGACTTTAAAGCAACAAAGATCAAAAGAGACAAAGAAGGCCATTACATAATGGTAAAAGGATCAATACAACAAGAAGAGCTAATGATCCTAAACATATATGGACCCAATGCAGGAGCACCCAGATACATAAGGCAAGTTCTTAATGACTTACAAAAGGACTTAGACTCCCACACAATAATAGTGGGAGACTTTAACACTCCACTGTCAATACTAGACAGATCAACCAGACAGAAAATCAACAAGGATATCCAGGGCTTGAACTCAGACCTGGAGCAAGCAAACCTGATAGACATTTACAGAACTCTCCACCCCAAATCCACAGAATACACATTCTTCTCAGCACCACATCACACCTACTCTAAAATTGACCACATAATTGGAAGTAAAGCACTGCTCAACAAATGCAAAACAACTGAAATCATAACAAACAGCCTCTCAGACCATAGTGCAATCAAGTTAGAACTCAGAATTCAGAAACCGACCCAGAACCGCACAGCTTCATGGAAACTGAACAACTGGCTCTTGAATGTTGACTGGGTAAACAACGAAATGAAGGCAGAAATAAAGAAGTTCTTCGAAACCAACGAGAACGAAGACACAACATGCCAGAACCTCTGGGACACATTTAAAGCAGTCTCTAGAGGAAAGTATATAGCAATAAGTGCCCATATGAGGAGAATGGAGAGATCCAAAATTGACACCCTATCGTCAAAATTGAAAGAGCTAGAGGAGCAAGATCAACAAAACTCAAAACCCAGCAGAAGACAAGAAATAACTAAGATCAGAGCTGAGCTGAAGGAGATTGAGACACGAAAAACCCTTCAAAAAATCAATAAATCCAAGAGCTGGTTTTTTGAAAAGATCAACAAAATAGACCACTAGCCAGATTGATTAAAAAGAAAAGAGAGAACAACCAAATAGATGCAATAAAAAATGATAAAGGGGAAATCACCACAGATTCCACAGAAATTCAAACCATCATCAGAGAATATTACAAACAACTCTATGCGCATAAACTAGTAAACCTGGAAGAAATGGATAAATTCCTGGACTCCTGTGTCCTCCCAAGCCTAAACCAGGAGGAAGCTGAAACTATGAATAGACCAATAACAAGGTCTGAAGTTGAGGCAGCAATTAAGAGCCTACCACACAAAAAAAGCCCAGGTCCAGACGGGTTCACAGCCGAATTCTACCAGACACACAAGGAGGAGCTGGTACCATTCCTTCTGAAACTATTTCAAACAATCCAAAAAGAGGGAATCCTTCCCAAATCATTTTATGAGACCAACATCATCCTGATACCAAAACCCGGCAGAGACCCAACGAGAAAAGAAAACTTCAGGCCAATATCCATGATGAACATAGATGCAAAAATCTTCAATAAAATATTGGCAAGCCAATTGTAACAGCAAATCAAAAAACTTATTCATCATGATCAAGTAGGATTCATCCCAGGGATGCAAGGCTGGTTCAACATACGCAAGTCTATCAACGTAATTCACCACATAAACAGAACCAAAAACAAAAACCACATGATTATCTCAACTGATGCAGAGAAGGCATTTGACAAAATTCAACAGCCCTTTATGCTAAAAACCCTCAATAAACTCGGTATCGATGGAACATATCTCAAGGTAATAAAAGCTATTTATGACAAACCAACAGCCAATATCATACTGAATGGGCAAAAACTGGAAGCATTCCCTTTAAAATCTGGCACTAGACAAGGATGCCCTCTCTCACCACTCCTATTCAATATAGTACTGGAAGTTCTAGCCAGAGCAATCAGGCAAGAAAAAGAAATAAAGGGTATTCAAATAGGAAAGGTGGAAGCCAAATTGTCTCTATTTGCAGACAACATGATAGTATACCTAGAAGACCCCATCGCCTCAGCCCAAAAACTCCTGAAACTGATAAGCAACTTCAGCAAAGTCTCAGGATATAAAATCAATGTGCAAAAATCACAAGCATTCGTCTACACCAATAACAGACTTAAAGAAAGCCAAATCAAGAGCGAACTGCCATTCGCAATTGCTACAAAAAGAATAAAATACCTTGGAATACAACTCACAAGGAACATAAGGGACCTCTTCAAGGAGAACTACAAACCACTGCTCAACGAAATCAGAGAGGACACAAACAGATGGAGAAACATTCCATGTTCATGGTTAGGAAGAATTAACATCGTGAAAATGGCTATACTGCCCAAAGTAATTTACAGAATCAACGCTATCCCCATCAAGCTACCATTGACTTTCTTCACAGCACTGGAAAAAACCACCATGAACTTCATATGGAACCAAAAGAGAGCCCACATAGCCAAGTCAATTCTAAGCAAAAAGAACACAGCGGGGGGCATCACACTACCGGATTTCAAACTATACTACAAGGCTACAGTAATCAAAACAGCATGGTACTGGTACCAAAACAGAGATATAGACCAATGGAACAAAACAGAGGCACCGGAGGCAACACAACATACATACAACTATACAATCTTTGATAAACCCGACAAAAACAAGCAATGGGGAAAGGATTCCATGTTTAACAAATGGTGTTGGGAAAACTGGCTAGCCATGTGCAGAAAGCAGAAACTGGACCCCTTCCTGACACCTTACACTAAAATTAACTCCAGATGGATTAAAGACTTAAACATAAGACCTGGCACCATAAAAACCCTAGAAGGAAATCTAGGCAAAACCATCCAGGTCATAGGAGTAGGCAAGGACTTCACGAACAAAACACCAAAAGCATTGGCAACAAAAGCCAAAACAGACAAATGGGACCTAATCAAACTCCACAGCTTCTGCACGGCAAAAGAAACAGTCACTAGAGTGGATCGGCAACCAACAGAATGGGAAAAAATTTTCGCAGTCTACCCATCTGACAAAGGGCTGATATCCAGAATTTACAAAGAACTCAAACAGATTTACAGGAAAAAAACAAACAAGCCCATTCAAAAGTGGGCAAAGGATATGAACAGATACTTTACGAAAGAAGACATATATGAGGCCAACAATCATATGAAAAAATGCTCATCGTCACTGGTCATCAGAGAGATGCAAATCTAAACCACATTGAGATACCATCTCACGCCAGTTAGAATGGCGATCATTAAAAAATCTGGAGACAACAGATGCTGGAGAGGATGTGGAGAAAAAGGAACACTTTTACACTGTTGGTGGGAGTGTAAATTAGTTCAACCATTGTGGAAGACAGTGTGGCGATTCCTCAAGGCCTTAGAAATAGAAATTCCATTTGACCCAGCAATCCCATTACTGGGTATATATCCAAAAGACTATAAATCGTTCTACTATAAGGACACATGTACACGAATGTTCATTGCAGCACTGTTTACAATAGCAAAGACCTGGAATCAACCCAAATGCCCATTGATAATAGACTGGATTGGAAAAATGTGGCACATATACACCATGGAATATTATGCAGCAATCAGAAATGATGAGTTTGTGTCGTTTGTAGGGACATGGATGAATCTGGAAAACATCATCCTCAGCAAACTGACACAAGAACAGAAAATGAAACACCGCATATTCTCACTCATAGGTGGGTGATGAAAAATGAGAACACATGGACACAGAAAGGGGAGTACTAAACAGTGGGGTCTATTGGGGGGAAAAGGGGAGGGCCAGTGGGAGGGGGAGGTGGGGAGGGATAGCCTGGGGAGAAATGCCAAATGTGGGTGAAGGGGAGAAGAAAAGCAAAGCACACTGCCATGTGTGTACCTACGCAACTATCTTGCATGCTCTGCTCATGTACCCCAAAACCTATAATCCAATAAAAATTAAAAAAAAAAAGAAGAAAACACATACTTTCATTTATAAAGAATTCTAGAAAATGCAAATGAATCTATAGCAACAGAGAGAAGATCAGTGATTGCCCAAGCACTGGACTAGGAGGGGAGGAGAAGGCTGAAGAGAGGAGCAAGTAATTACAAAGGGTAATGAGAAAATTTTGTGCTCATTATCCTTACTGTGGTCATGATTTTATGGTGCATTTTAAGTATGTGCAATGAATTTGTGTCAAGTATACCTCAATAAATATGTCCAATTTTTTTTGAAAAAAAAAAAAAAGATATAGATTCACTTTTTAGTGTTCATGTTTCAATAACAAGAACTCTGTTTTCTTTAGGCAAATTACAAAAAGAAGGTGCTTTATCACGTGTATCTGACGAAAGTCTCAGTAAAGTTCAGGAAGCAGAATCCCCAGTATTTAAAGAGCTACCAGGTGCCAAGGCTAACGATGACAGCACCATCCCACTCACTGGGGCGGCAGGGGAGACGTCAGGGGCCTTGGAAGGCACCTCCACGGGCAGCCACCCTCGGGCTGCATACGGTAAGATGTGCCTGGAGAGCTGGGGTTCTGTGGCAGCGCGGAGATGTTCCTCTAGGGAGGACCAGCTGGGCCTGGCTGTGGGCAGTCTGGTTTTAATGCACAAAAGCATCCTTCAGTTTTATGATTTGAGAAAACCGAGAGGCTAGGGAGGCCTCAGGAAACCATTCCACAGTCAGCAGAGCAGTCTTTACTCTGGTCCTGTGATTTCTTCCAAGAGCGGTTTATAGTCTCACCGTAGGCGCTGGGGCCGCATACCATATGTCTCACCAGAGGGGCTGGGGCCACGCACTGTATGTCTGTGCTGCACCCACTCAGTACACATGCAGATCTCCATGCCCCAGGAGTTACCGAATTGCTGAACGCTGGTTAATCCAGCTTACTATGGAAGTTGCAAGGAGGAAGCTAAATTTGTAACCAAGAAGGTGGTCTCACCATTGAATCACAGAAACTAGAAACCTTAGAAAACGTCCAGACTGGCCGGGCACAGTGGCTCATGATTGTAATTCCCAGCTCTTTGGGAGGCCAAGGCAGGTAGATCACCTGAGGTCAGGAGTTCGAGACCAGCCTGACTAACATGGTGAAACCTGGTCTCTATTAAAAGTGCAAAAATTAGCTGGGCATGGTGGTGGGTGCCTGTAATCCCTGCTACTTGGGAGGCTGAGGCAGGAGAACTGATTGAACCCAGGAGGTAGAGGTTGCAGTGAGCCAAGATTGCACCATTGCAACTCCAGCCTGGGGCAACAGAACAAGATTCCGTCTCAAAAAAGAAAAGAAAAGAAAAAAGAAAACATCTAGACCATTCTGTGTCCTTTAGACTCTTAATGTTTATGGACAGTGCCCAGGGAGCACAGCTTTGCCCAAGCCTGCCCCAGTGGCTGCCACCTCTGCAAGGTGGGTTCAGGCACCTGCCTGCAACAGGTACAGTCTCAGATGTGGCCCAGAGAAAGCAAATTTGTTTTGCCTGATTTATCTCAGATACTGCCTTTGACAGTATGACTGACCTTTTAAGATGCACCTAGAAAATTAGCCGGGATGATGGTGGGCCTCAGTAGTCCCAGATGCTTGGGAGGCTGAGGCAGGAGAATCAATTGAGTCCAGGAGTTGGAGTGAGCTATGATTGCACCACTGCACTCCAGCCTGGGTAACATAGCTGAGATCCTGCCTCCAAAAACGAAGCCAAAACAGAAGCACCTGGAATATCCACCTCACATAAAGTGGGTTTTGTCTTACGTATGAAGTTTTTCTAAGATGAATTTCTTAGTGCCAAGTGCCTTAGTAATTTCTGGAAGACACTTTTTAGAAGTTAACATGTTTTGAAAATACCACATTATTAGTTTTGCCCTTTTGTTATGTTTCCACGTTTATTATGTTTTTAATGGTAACCATAGTACATGTCCTTTACAGCCAACTTAGAAAAGATAGTGTATGTTAATAAGTCATCCCCAGCCTTCCAGAGATAAGTGCCATGAAACAGTGGGGAGTGTTTCCTTACTTTATATTGGCAAGGCTGGAAAATGAGACCTTCTCTAACCCTTTTCAGGAAGGGCCCTGTCCATGACCCATGGTTCTGTGAAATCGCCCGTCTCCAATGGCACCTTCGGCTTCGACGGCCATACCAGGAGCGATGGTCACGTGTACCACACGGTGCACAAAGACTCGGGGCTCTACAAAGACCTGCTGCACAAAATCCACATCGACAGGGGCCCCGAGGAGAAGCCAGCCCAGGAGAGCAGCTACCGGCTGCTGCGCCGGAACAACAGCTACACCTGCTACACTGCGGCCATCTGCGGGCTGCCGGTGCATGCCACCTTCCGAGCTGCAGACTCGTCGGCCCCAGAGGACAGCGAGAAGTTGGTGGGCGACACCGTGTCCTACTCCAAGAAGAGACTACGCTACGACAGCTACTCGAGTTACTGCAACGCGGTGGCGGAGGCGGAGATCGAGGCGGAGGAGGGTGGCGTGGAGATGAAGCTGGCATCGGAGCTGGCCGACCCCGACCAGCCGCGGGAGGACCCTGTGGAGGAGGAGAAGGAGGAAAAGGACGCGCCCGAGGTGCACCTCCTGTTCCATTTCCTGCAGGTCCTCACCGCCTGTTTTGGGTCCTTTGCTCACGGCGGCAATGATGTGAGGTGGGTGCATTCATTCATTCATTCAAGAGTCCCGGAAGCTCCACCAGGTGCCAGCACTGTGCGAGTGCCGGGATCCAGCAGTAAACGGCACCGGTGGAAGCCCCTGCCTGGGGTAGGGCGCGCAGGCGGTGGACAGACCCATAAGTCAGCCTTGTGTACGGGACTGCGACAGCATCAGCAGGAAAGTGAGGTAGACGCAGGGCAGGAGCTGCAGGGGTGGCCGTGCAACCTGGACTACCCAGGGAAGGGCTGGCCAATGACGGAGCTGCAGGGGTGGTCATGTGGCGTCCACAGGAAGGAAAATGGCAGGTGCAGAGGCTTGAGGCAGACACACACCTCTGACCTCCAGGACGAGCTAGGCGGTCGCTCAAGGGGCCAAGTAGAGACCCCACGTCTACAGTGTGTGGATGCAGAACGCGTGGCCGGTGGACACCGGAAGGCCTCACCCCAAGAGGGGAGTCATGAAGTGGCTTCTGGGGCCACGCAGGGTACGTTTGACAGGGGCACTGGCTTTTGGGCGACGGGCTGGACATGGATGTGAGAAAAGAAGGGAAGAGGCTGATGCCGGACCGGAGCCGTGGCCTCGGCAAGGCAAGAGTGGAGCTGCCACCTTTTAGGGATGACGCAGGCCCTAGACACGGCCAGTGCGCTATGATGCTGTTCAGGCTGAGCAGGCAGCGGGCATGTGCGCCCGAGTTCAGGTCAGGCCAGGCTGGGTGCAGAGCAGGTGACTTGGTTGGAGGAGTGCTGGGGCAAGCAGTGGGAGGCAGCGCGCCCAGACTGAGGAAACAGCAAGAAAGAAGGTATGCCATACCAGGATGCTAGGAGAACTTCCTAGGAGGTGATTTTATTTTAATTATTATTTTTTTATAACGGAGTCTCGCTCTGTTCCCCAGCCTGGAGTGCAGTGGTGTGATCTCGGCTCACTGCAACCTCCTTCTCCCAAGTTCAAGTGATTCTCCTGTCTCAGCCTCCCAAAGCAGCTGGGACTACAGGAGTGTGCCACCACAACCAGCTAATTTTTATATTTTTAGTAGAGACAGGGTTTCCCGTGTTGGCCAGGCTGGTCTTCAACTCTTGACCCAGGTGATCCGCCCACCTCGGCTTCCCCAAGTGCTGGAATTACCGGCGTGAGCCACCGCGCCTGGCCATCCTTCAGTAGCATCTTTAACCCCAGTGAGAAGGCTCTGCCCCACTTGTGGGCTCTGGTTCTCCCCACTGCATGGTGCAGCCGCTGGAGCTGCCACCAGAGCCTGCAGGTCACTCCACATATAATGTCACAGACATCCTGCAAATAAGTGTGTAGGGACAGGGACGGATATAACTCTCTAACCTTCACCCCACCCACCCCACCCCACGCCCAGGCCCAGCATTTAGGAAGCAGGGCAGCCTCCTGGGGCCCAAGAACCACAAGTTTGGGTCTCTGCTGTCTTCTTACAGCTGTGTAGACAAGTCACTTGCTTTTCTGAAGTCTCAGTTTCGCAATCTGTAAAATGGGGAAAACAATTCCTAACCTCCCAGGCTTCCCCTGTGTAACGTGATGAGGATGGTGCTCCCAACTAGCTCGGTTTCTGTGCATTTCTGTTCGTGGTCATGGTCAGCCCACTGACGTTTCAGGGGACCCTGCTGTTGTCATCTTCTTTTGCAAGTAGTGACTCCCCGTGGGCTGTGCACTCTGCCTCCCCACGTGCAGCTGTGTCTCTGCTCTTCATAAAAGAAGTCTTGCTGCAGACAAGTGCATCTTTTATTCTGCTCAGCATCACATGGGCATTTCTGTGGTATTTTATTTGGTATTTTCTTGGAGACAGTGTGCTCTGCCCTATGTTAGTAACTTTGTCTGCCCCCACGCTGTCCCACTTCCTCCTCATCATCGAGCATTCTTTATAGAAGGCCTGGTACTGGCAGAGCACTAGGAACTGGGTCCCTGTCCATTAGGAGTTTAAACACAGGGAGATGAGAAAAACATATCCATGGAAAAGTAACAACACAGTCTCACATTCACGCATTCAAATACACTCACATGTGCGCTCACACAGGCCCACTCACACGTACTCACACACAACAGTGTTTCAGTTCAAAGAAAACAACTAGGCAGTGGCTGCTTGGGGTGACTGTAGAATTCTGAGCAGTTGCTTGCAGCATGGAGACTGTTCTGGCTTTGGAGCAGGGAGGGCATCTGGTGAAAGCACCATTCTAGAAGTCATCTGAGTGAGAAGAGGAGTCCATGCATTCAGCACGAGGTTGAGCCCCGAAGCCTCAGCACTGAGCTGCTGTGGCCTATCCCACCCTCCCTCTAACACCCCTCTAAGCCAGGGATGGACATCTGTCAGAGATGGGATCTGACACTCAGGGTCACAAAGGGAGACCGAAGCTGACTTGGAAGCCAGTTCCAGTGACTCAATGACACCCGGTCTATACAGCTGACTGCGGGAGGAGAAAAGAGCCAGGGAAGCTGTTAAGAGCACCTCAGGTCTCATGAGCTCCGGGGGCCTGACAGACATGAGCAATGTAGGGACAGGGCCAGAGGGCCTGAAGGAGCCTGGGCTGCGCCCACTCTGCTGCCTCAGAGGTGGAACTCCGGCCTCAGTTTCCTCATCAGTAAGACGGAAGCCACAGTGCCCGCTGTGCAGGGTGGCTGTGGGGATGGAAATATTGCACTCCATAGTGAGGGGCCTGACAGTCTGTCCAAAACTGGCAGAGAAAATAGAAATTTGAGGAGAAAGGGAAGAAAAGAAGAACTTGGTTGTTGTGTCGTGAACTTGGTTCTTTTAAAAATTAATTTTGGCCAGGTGCAGTGGCTCACACCTGTAATCCCAGCACTTTGAGAAGCCAAGGTGGGTGGATCATTTGAGGTCAGGAGTTCAAGATCAGCCTGGCCAACATGGTGAAACCCCACCTCTACTAAAAATACAAAAATTAGCTGGGTGTGGTGGTGCGTGCCTGTAGTCCTAGCTACTCAGGAAGCTGAGGCAGGAGAATCACTTGAACTCAAGAGGTGGAGGTTGCAGTGATCTGAGATCTCGCCTCTGCACTCCAGCCTGGGCGACAGAGCAAGACTCTGTCTCAAAAAAGAAATTAATTAATTTAATAGGCTGGGCATGGTGGTTCATGCCTGTAACCTCAGCACTTTGGGAGGCCAAGGTGGACGGATCATCTAAGGTTGGGTGTTCAAGACCAGCCTGGACAACATGGTGAAATCCCACCTCTACTAAAAATACAAAAATTAGCTGGACCTGGTGGTGGGCACCTGTGGTCCCAGTTACTCAGGAGGATGAGGCAGGAGAATCGCTTCAACCCAGGAAGGAGAGGTTGCAGTGAGCCGAGATTGCACCACTACACTCCGGCCTGGGCGACAGAGGGAGATTCTGTCTCAGTAATGATAATAATAACAACAACAAATTACACACCTATTAGGATGGTTACCATTTTAAAAAAGTAACAAGTGTTGTGAAGGATGTAGAGAAATTGTTACCCTCTGCACTGTTAGTGGGAAGTAAAATGGTGTAACTGCTATGGAAACCAGGATGCAGGCTCCTCAAAAAATTCAGACCTCCCACCTCCCCTATGACCCAGCATTCCTGCTTCTGGGTATACGTCCAGAAGAATTGAAAACTGTGTCTCAAAGAGACCTTTGTACCCCATGTTCAAAGCACCACCATTTGCAATAGGCAAGAGAGGAGAGCAACCCAGATGTGCACTGACAGGTGAATGGAAACGAAACGTGCCTGTGCATGCAGCGGAATACTGTTCAGCCTCAAAAAAGAAGAAAGTCCTGTCACCTGCTGTAACATGGATGAACCTGGAGGACATTAGGCTAAGTGAAATAAACGATCACAGAAAGAAAAATGCTGTATGGTTCCCCTTCTGAGAGTTGTCTGCAGCAGTCAAATTCATAGAACTAGAAAGTTTATGGTGGTTGCCAGTAGCTGTGGGGAGGAGCCGTGGGAATTTGTTTGAAGAGTGCAGCTTCACATTTGCCAGATGAACAGGTTCTGGAGATCTGTTTCACAACAGTGTAAATATACTTAACACTGCTAAACTGTAAGAATGATTACGATGGTAAAGTTTATGTTATGCTTTTTACCACAATTTTTTAAAAAGTCATTTTGATCATGACTCTATTATATAGGTGAACCTCAAATACACTAAGATGAGCTATGCTCCAGACAGAAGTCACCATGTACAAGAAGACTTGGGAGACACTGGGTTCCGTTTCAGACCACTCCAATAAAACAAGTTTCACAGTACAGTGAGACACACGGTTTCTGGTGTCCCAGCGCATAGAAAAGTTATGTTTGTATATTACCACGCCATAATGTGTTAAATGCGCAACAGTATTATGTCTAAAAAGCAATGTGCATACCTTAATTTGAAAATACTTTGTTGCTAAAAATAATGCTAGCAACCCTCTGAACATTCAGTGAATCATAATCCTTTTGCTGATGGAGGATCTGGCCTTGATGTGGATGGCTGCTGATTGATCAGGGTGGTGGTGATTAAATGCTGGGGTGGCTGTGGCCATTTCTTAAATTAAGACAACAGTGAAATTTGCCACATCAATTAACTCTTCCTTTCACAAAAGATTTCTTCATAGCACACGATACAGTTTGATACATTTTACCTAATATAGAATTTCTTTCAAAATTGGAGTCAATCCAGTCACACCCTGCCTCTGCTCTATCAACTGAGTTTATAGAATATTCTAAATCCTTTATTGTCATGTCAACAATGTTCACAACATGTTCACCAGGAGTAGATTCCGTCTCAAGGAGCTTCCTTTGCTCATCCAGAAGAAGCACCTCCTCATCTGCTAAAGTTCTGTCATGAGGCTGCAGTTTGCTCACATCGCCAGGCTCTCCTTCTAGTTCTCTTGCTATTTCCACATCTGCAGGGACTTCCGTCATTAAAGTTCTGAACCCCTCAGAGTCATCCATGAGGGTTGGAATTGACTTCTTCTAAACTTCTGTTAATGTTGGTATTTTTACTTCCTCCCATGGATCACAGATGTTCTAATGGCATCTAGAATGGGGGATCCTTTCCAGAAGGTTTCAGTGGACTCCTCGGACTCATCGGAGGAATCACTATCTATGGCAGCTATAGCCCTACAAAGTGTATTTCTTAAGTAATAAGACTTGAAAGTGAAATTACTCCTTGATCCATGGGCTGCAGAACGGATGCTTTGTTCACAGGCAGGAACACAACATTCATCTCCTTACACATCTCCATCAGAGCTCTCTAGTGACCAGGTGCATTGTCAATGAGCAGTAATACTTTGAAATATTAATATTTTTTCTGAGCAGTAGGTTTCAACAGTGGACTTAAAATATTCAGTAAACCATGTGTAAACAGACAGATTTACTTTGTTGTTACATTTCTAGAGCACAGAGTAGATTTAGCATCATTCCTAAGAGCAATGGGATTTTTGGAATGGTAAGTGAACACTGGCTTCAACTAAAGTTACCAGCTGCATTAGCCTCCGAGAAGAGAGTCAGCCTGTCTTTTGAAGCTTTGAAGCCAGGCATTGCCTTCTCTCTGGCTCTAGAAGTCCCAGCTGGCATCATCTTCCAATAGAAGACCCTTTCGTCTATATTGGAAATCTGCTGTTAGTGTAGCCACCTTCATCAGTGATCTTAGCTGGATCTTCTGGAGAACTCACTGCAGCTTTTCTATTAGCACTTGCTGCTCACCTTGTACTTTTATGCTATAAAGATGGCTTCTTTCCTTAAACCTCCTGAACTGACCTCTGCTGTCTTCCAGCTTTTCTTCTGCAGCTTCCTGAGCTCTCTCAGCCTTCACAGAATTGAAGAGAACTAGGGCCTTGCTCTGGATTGGACTGTGGCTTAAGGGAATGTTGTGGCTGGTTTGATCTTCTATCCAGACCACTCAAACTTTCTCCGTATCAGCACTATGGCTGTTTTGCTTTCTTACTATTCATGTGTTCATTGGAGCAGCACTTTTCGTTTCCTTCAAGATGCTTTCCCTTGGCACTCACAACTTGGCTGTTTGGCCCAAGGGGCCTAGCTTTTGACCTGTCTCTGATTTTGACAAGCCTTCCTCACTAAGCTTAATCATTTCTAGGTTTTGATTTAAACTGAGAGACATGCAACTCTTCCTTTCAATTGAACACTTAGAGGCCACTGTAGGGTGATCTATTGGCTTAATTTCAATATTGCAATATCTCAGAAAATTGGGAGGCCGGAGGAGATGGAGAGAGATGGGGGAGTGGCAGGTCTGTGGAGCAGGGAGAACACACAGCATCTATCAGTGAAGCTCACCGTCTCATATGGGAACAGTTCATGGTACCCCAGAACAATATAATAGTAACATAAAAGATCACTGATCACAGATCACTACAACATATATGATAATAATGAAACAGTTGGGAGTACTGTGAGAATTACCAAAATGTGACAGAGACATGACGTGAGCACGCACTGCTGGAAAATCGCGCCAGTGGACTTGCTTGTTGTGGGGGTGCCACAAACCTCTAATTTGTAAAACATATCATACCCGAAGGCCAGGCGCAGTGGCTCACCTGCAATCCCAGCACTTTGGGAGGCCAAGGTGGGCAGATCACGAGGTCAGGAGTTCGAGACCAGCCTGGCCAATATAGTGAAAACCCGTCTCTACTAAAAGTACAAAAAATTAGCTGGGCATGGTGGCGCGTGCCTATAATCCCAGCTACTCAGGAGGTTGAGGCAGGAGAATTGCCTGAACCCAGGAGGCGGAGGTTGCGGTGAGCCTAGATTGCGCCATTGCACTCCAGCCTGGGTAACAAGAACGAAACTCCGTCTCAAAAAAAAAAAAAAATTAGCTGGGCATGGTGGTGCACACCTGTAGTCCTAACTACTCGGGAGGGAGGCTGAGGCAGGAGAATTGCTTGAACCCAGGAAGCGGAGGTTGCAGTGAGCCAAGATCATGCCACTGCACTCCAGCCTGGGTGAGAGAGCGAGACTGCATCTCCAAAAAATATAAAAAAAGAAATAAAGAAGGAAGAAACATCATATCTGTGGAATGTGATAAAGTGAAGCGCAATAAAACAAAGTCACCTGTACCGTGTACAGTGCCACTTGCATATGTAATCTTTTTTCTTTTTCTTTTTCCCAGTAACGCCATCGGTCCCCTGGTAGCCTTGTGGCTGATTTACAGACAAGGTGGGGTAATGCAAGAAGCAGCTACGCCCATCTGGCTGCTGTTTTATGGAGGTGTTGGAATCTGCACAGGCCTCTGGGTCTGGGGGAGAAGAGTGATCCAGACCATGGGGAAGGACCTCACTCCCATCACACCATCCAGGTAAGCCCGGGCTGGTGGACAGGCAGGGTGGGCTTGTCATCCGAGGCCTGGGTGGAGCTGCCCAGCTGTGTCTGAATGGCCAGCTCAACACTGGCAGTCAGCAGTGGGTCACAGGGAGGAGGGGACAGTGGGCAAGAATGGCCCCGCCCCACCTAGCATGCCACCTCCCCTCCTCCTCCTCCCTCCCTATGTCCCTGCCTCCAGCCACAGGGTCCCTGAGCGGGAAGGGTCCCTGAGAGGGAAGGGCAGACAAGGAGGGGTAGGAGAGCGGAGCAGGCAGGGAGGAGAGGAGCAGCCAGCTTGGGGGGCCAGAGGCAGGTGGGCAAGGAGGGCACAGACTGCAGCAGGCCCAGGAGCCGATCTTTCCTGAAAGTTCGCTGGCCATGCCAGCTCTCAGTGGCCACCCTGCTGGGGTTACCTTAGCTCTTGCTCTGCCAGACAGGGAGGCATCCCCTGCCATCGTGGGTGAGCGCTGGAGGCTTTAAATGTGGTCTCTCAACCACATAGCCTTCAGCTGCATCAGGGGTTAAAGGAACTTCCAGAACTTTTAGAATACGACCAAAATTTGGAGCCATCTATGATGGGAAATCTCTCTTTTTAAAGCATATGGGAGGTTTCCTTTTCCTACAGGCTCAGGAGTTCAAGGAAGGGAACCAAGGGCAGCTGGGGTGGGGAGGACCAGAATCCAAACCCCATCACACAGCTCTGCTCTACATCTGCAGAGAAAGCTAACATAGCTCCAGTGAGCCTCCTATATACACAGAGACTTTAAATTTCTAATTTTGGTTCTCACTTGAGATTCATTTTAATAAAAGATAATTTAGAAGATTGGTTTGAAGAACAATTAGTAATCCGAGAGAAATACACTCTTTCGTAATAAGTGCGCATTTTTAAAATGAGAGCATAGTTTTTCCTTTTCCGTTTTAGAAATGTCTATCTTACTGCACAGCAGGAATGTCTGGCCACGTGACTGCCGTGCGTGGGCTTTGAAAAGGTATCAGAAAGTCGGGCCGCTGGGGACCGTGGCAGGAAAGCGCAGCCTTGGTGCCTATTGAGCAGCCTCTTGTTCTGTTAAAGTCGATCTTGCCCAGTCAGCAGCAGGCAGTCACCCCCCCAGAATGTTCTGGCGAGCCTCTGGCACCCACTGGGTGTCAGGGAGGCTGATAAAAGGGCGCCCATGACTTGTCTCATGCTCCCCCTGCAGCGGCTTCACGATCGAGCTGGCCTCCGCCTTCACCGTGGTGATTGCCTCCAACATCGGGCTTCCAGTCAGCACCACGCACTGCAAGGTAGGCCCCTGCTAGCCGGGAGCCCTTCCCCAAGCCGTTAAGATGGGTCCAAAGCCACCGAGCCCGCGCGAGGGAGGCGGTAGGGCTCTGAAGGTGGTTGTGCAGACGAGTCTCCAGGTTCTCCGCGTCTGCCGGGACCTTGTTTTCCTCCATCTGCCCCTCCACCGTCCTCCTGTCGGCAGGACGACAAGATCCCTCGTTCAGACCTGGCTTTTCCAAGGCAGAATGCTAGGGCTAGCCCGCCTGGGACTGGCCTGCTGCCCTCCCGATTTCCACAGTGCAGTTCAATTGGTGTCCTACGTGCTCTGAGCATACCCATGGGCTTACCTGGGTACCTGCCACTCAGTCCAGCCATTGAGGGGACTGGGGGTTGACAGTTGAAATAGAAATTAACAAAAATCATTTCTGTGGAATTGTTTCTGGTTTTGTTCCTTATGTGATGTTCAAAGTGACTGACTTTATTGCCCTTAATTCCCCATGAGGGGTAATTGCTGATACTGACCACTGTGTCATGCTCTGAAACCTGGAGCTGGACAAGAGAGGGTTCCTGGTGGTGGTGAGGAAGTTGGACTCCAGGAGTTCCAGGGAGTGATCCACAGGTGGCCAGGATGGGGAGGACCGGAACCCGGGTCTCATCACCCAACTCTGCCCAGCATCTACAGATAGATACTCCTAAAATAGCTCCGGTGAGCCTCTGTATACAGACACACTCACCAGTCTCAACAAAGCAAAAGTTCCTTCCAGATGTTTCCTAGGTTCATTTATTTGCATCATTCCAGAAAAACTCATTGGCGTTTGCTGCGTAGGGGCAGAGCTGTAGGCAGCAGGAGGAATACATGAGCCCTCATGACAGACACAGCCACCCACGTTTATATTTACTAACGATTTCAAGATTCCAGCCATAAGTTAAAAAAAAAAACAAACCTCCAAGCAAAGGCAGGCGGCTTCGTGCTTCAAACACCCAGGTCAGGTGGCCCTCACAAGAGCATCTGGAATGCCCCAGCAGTGTGTTTCAAAGCTGGGGCTCTGTGCATGAAGAATCAGCCTCAGTGGAAAGAGGTTTTGTTTTTTTTCCTTTTTTGCTATCATTTATAGAAACACTTCAATTTCCACAAAGCATCTGTATTCATATCCCCCCAACTTACTGATCATCAGGAAGTGCTGGGTACTGTGCTCAGCACCACATGCATGGCATGCTGTTCCCTCTCCTAGGCAAGCCTGTGGGGTCGGAACTGTCAACTCCCAGTCCACAGGTGAGGAGACTGGGTTCCCTCAGAGCTGGACCGCTTACCACGTGCACACAGCCACATGTGATAGATGGAGGATTCAGATCTTTACCTCAGGCCATACACCTCCTCATTCATGTCCCCATCAGCACCATCGTGGTGCCCAACCATGGCCAGGATGGCTGAGGCAAGCACTCCACTGGCGCCATGAACATGAGTCCCCTCGGACTCCCCAAGAATCTTCCCCAGCTTCACAGATGAGGAAACTGAAGCAGAGGAAAGTTAAGTAACGTGCCTGAGGTTACACAGCCAGGGAGCCGCCCAGCCAAGGCACCCACGTGGGCGGCGTGGCCAGCGCCCTCCTCCCCGGCTCCACCTGGCAAGCATGAGGGAGGCAGGCAGGAAGAGGTGCGCCCACTACCCGTTCATTGTGAGTTTCCTAATGTGGGTTATTTAAAACTTACCAGAGAAGCACATATTCACTGAAATAAACAATATAAGACTATAGGGAATGAAAAGTGACATCTTCCCTGAACTCCATGTCAGTTCCATTCACTGTGGTATGTAGGAGCATGGAGGAGACACATGTCACTAAATATATTCTTTCCAAGGACACAGGTTTGTGACTTTGATCAGTTATCTTTTGGAATGCTTTTAAACAGATGTAATGCCATCTTTTTAATGATTAATCTACCCTTAAGCAAGACTGCTGAAGGCAGGCAGACCCTTCCACACCAGTTGAAAGAGCTTCCACACCAGTCGAAAGAGCTTTTCTTTTTTTTTTGAGATGGAGTCTTGCTCTCTCACCCAGGCTGGAGTGCAGTGGCGTGGTCCTGGCTCACTACAGCCTTTGCCCCCGGGTTCAAGCAGTTCTCCTGCCTAAGCATTCAGGGTAGCTGAGATTACAGGCATGTGCCACCACACCCAGTTATATTTTTGTGTTTTTAGTAGAGACACAATTTCACCATGTTGGCCAGGTTGGTCTAGAACTCCTGACTTCAGGTCATCTGCTTGCCTCAGCCTCCCAAAGTGCTAGGATTACAGGCATGAGCTGCCGTGCTCAGCCTGAAAGAGCTTTTGAAAAACCACCATGGGTTTGGTTTTTCCAGCTTGCTGCTGTTTAGCTAACTGTATGAGCAGTCTAATCCATACGGATGTTTACTATATACAGTGTTGGAATGGACAATACTGATTTTGCTAATAACACTATAGGAATAGATGAGAAGTATAAAATGCTTATTTAAAAAGCCAGACTCTCAAATTCTCTTGACGTGTGATTTCCCCAATACTGTATTGATATTTATAGCATAATAATGCGTAACTAAGAGATTTATATCCAGTTTTTACAGCAAATAGATGTATATGTTATTATCCTAAGATATCTGTACAAGCACGTGATAAGTTTTGTTTCCTTTGAGCTGGTGATGGGTAGTATTAGGATAGCTTGTTGGCACATAAAGCAGGTCTCCCTGACATGGGCCTGCAGTGGGATGCCATCTGTAATAGGTCACAACTTGGATTCTAGTCAGTTTGTCTGATATCACTGATCTTGGACTTCTGGATAAAGTCCAGAGCTATTCCCTGTGAGCACTAAGGACAGTCTCAGCTCTCAGGAGCTTGCAGTGCAGTTGGAGAGCAGATGGCTCTCATTAGAGTCCAAATAATAGAAGTGCTGGGGAGAGTTCACAGTTGTCATTACCCGGTAATTCTTACTCTCTCATATCACATATTTCCCTTGCACACAACAGTCCCCAAATGGCAAATGTGGGATGAACTATGAGAGCCGTGGGATGGCGTGAAGAATGGGGCCCTCTGTGAATGAGGCCATGAATCTGGAAACATTCAAAGGGTATTGATGTCCACATAGAGTCATAGTTGAATTGGATGAGTTTCAGGATAATTACCTGTGTTTGATTTTTAAGTTTCTTGCTTACAGCCATCTAAGAGAAGGTAGGGAAACTGGGGACTTGGCAGGAAATAAGATGAAAACTATTGTTTAGAATGAGTTTTTGAATTTATCTAGGTATATGTTATTGATTTAGGCTTCCTTCTAAGTGTAGGTGGCCAAGTGCGTAGATTTGTTTTGTTTGAGACAGAGTCTTGCTTTGTCTCCCAGGCTGGAGTGCAGTGACAGAATCTTGGCTCACTGCAACCTCCGTCTCCTGGGTTCAAGCAATTCTCTTGCCTCAGACTCCTGAGTAGGTGGGGTTACAGGTGTGCACTACCACACTCGGCTAATTTTTGTATTTTTAGTAGAAATGGGGTTTTGCCGTGCGACATGGTGGCTGTAATCCCAGCACTCTGGGAGGCTGAGGTGGATGGCTCACCTGAGGTCAGGAGTTCGAGACCAGCCTGACCAATATGGTGAAAGTATTTTCTCTACTGAAAATACAAAAATTAGCCTGGTGTGGTAGCAAGTGCCTGTAGTCCCAGCTACTCAGGAAGCTGAGACAGGAAAATTACTTGAACCTGGGAAGCAGAGGTTGCAGTGAGCCAAGATCACGCCATTGCTCTCCAGCATGGGCAACAGAGCAAGACTCTGTCTCAAAAAAGAAGAAAAGAAAAGAAAAAGAAAAGGTATATAGGAGTATGAAGAATTTGAACAGTTACTTAGAGCAGCATAATTAGTAAGTATGTATAAATTTTTACCCTACTGATCATATGTCTTCCTGTCAAGCATCATGAAACGTTTATAAATCCTAAAGTCAGAAAACCATGATAAAAATCTCTATAAAACTTTAAAAACTGGCCTGGTGTGGTGGCTCACACCTGTAATCCCAGCACTTTTGGAGGCCGAGGTGGGAGGATTGAGCCCAGAAGTATAAAACCAGCTGGGGCAACATCTTAACCCTGTCAGTATTTTATAAAAATTGAAATTGCCAGGCGCGGTGGCTCACGCCTGTAATCCCAGCACTTTGGGAGGCTGAGGCGGGTGGATCACGAGGTCAAGAGATGGAGACCATCCTGGTCAACATGGTGAAACCCCGTCTCTACTAAAAATACAAAAATTAGCTGGGCATGGTGGCACGTGCCTATAATCCCAGCTACTCAGGAGGCCGAGGCAGGAGAATTGCCTTAACCCAGGAGGCGAAGGTTGCAGTGAGCCAAGATCGTGCCATTGCACTCCAGCCTGGGTAACAAGAGCAAAACTCTGTCTCAAAAAAAAAAAAAAAATACAATGATAGCTTTCTTGAAAAATAATAAAAACCAAATGTGTGTGTCTGTGAGTGGATACAAATAGCAAGACCTGTGGCAACCAAAGCTATGCTAAGTTGAAAATTCATATATATATATTTTTTGGGAGACAAGAGTTTTGCTCTTGTCACCCAGGCTAGAGTGCAGTGGTGTGATTTCAGCTGACTGCAACCTCTGCCTCCTGGGTTCAAGTGAGTCTCCTGCCTCAGCCTCCTAAGTAGCTGGGATTACAGGCCACCACCACACCCAGCTAAATTTTGTATATTTGGTAGAAACGGGGTTTCACCATATTGGCCAGGTTGGTCTCAAACCCCTAACCTCAGGTGATCCACCTGCCTCAGCCTCCCAAAATGCTGGGATTACAGGTATAAGCCACCATGCCTGACTGAAAATTCATATATTTAAATGGTTTAATTGATAAAAGAGAAAATAAAATAACCAAGTATTAAAATTAGGATTTTATAAAAAGTCCAGTACAATAAAAACAGAAAACAGCTTGTAAGAAATATAGAAGCAAAATGAATTAAAAACAAAATAAGAAGGGGAGAGGACAGTAGCTGCTAATAAAATAGTAGATCACATCAAGGAAAAGAGGGAGGGAATTAAGTTGGGAAGGAGGAAGACATTGTAACAACAGATGGAGAAGAAAATTGTTTCCATTGGTAAAGAAAGCACACAGCTGTTAGCTTAGAATTTGAAAACCTGTGAATTATTTTCTGCAGCTACACACATGACAAAGAAATACTGACCTGAGAAGTAGAAAAAAGTGGAAAATCTGACCCAGAACAATAGGGTGAAATTAAGGGAGTTCTCCAAAAACAATTGTTCTCACCTAAAAAAGCAAAAAGGTGCTAGGGGTGGGGCGGGGGAAGATACTGCTGACTAGATGAATTCATTAGCATCTTTTCGATTTAAACAAACAAAAAAACAGCTCTTACATGATATAAACTTCCCCACAATGTAGGAGGAAAACACAAAACTAGAAAACCTCTCCCATTTGTGCTATAGCGTACACTGAATAATCCTAATACCAAACCTAATTTAAAATATTACAAACAGGCTGGGCGCGGTGGCCTGTAATCCCAGCACTTTGGGAGGTCAAGGCGGGTGGATAACGAGGTCAAGAGATAGAGACCATCCTGGTAAACAAGGTGAAACCCCGTCTCTACTAAAAAAATACAAAAATTAGCTGTAATATATATATATATATATATATATCAATGAAATCTATGTTTACCTATGAATATTAATTGAAAAAATCTTCAAGCAAGATGCTGATAAATGGCATCAACAATATTTGGCCAGGCACGGTGGCTCACGCCTATAATTCTAGCCCTTTGGGAGGCCGAGGCGGACAGATCACCTGAGCTCAGGAGTTCGAGATCAGTCTGGCCAACCTGGTGAAACTCTGTCTCTACTGAAAATACAAAAATTATCCGGGTGTGGTGTCAGGTGCCTGTAATCCCAGCTACTAGGGAGGCTGAGGTAGAAGAATCGCTTGAACCATGGAGGAGGAGGTTGCAGTGAGCTGAGATTTTGCCACTGTACTCCAGCACTTTGGGAGGCCGAGGAGGCTGGGTCACTTGAGGTGAGGAGTTTGAGACCAGCCTGGCCAACATGGTGAAACCCTGTCTCTACTAAAAATATGAAAATTAGCCAAGGGTGGTGGCATGCACCTGTAATCCCAGCTACTGGGGAGGCTGAGGCAGGAGAATCACTTGAACCTGGGAGACAGAAGATACAGTGAGCTGAGATCGTGCCACTGTGCTCCAGCCTGGATGACGCAGCAAGACTCTGTCTTGGGGGGGAAAAAAGAACTATATAAAGAGCTATATGCTGAAGAGAAGAATCCCCAAACAATTCTACCTAAAATCTAAGCCATTTTAAAAGCTGTAACAAATGTAGGGGACCGGGTAATGCTGTACTAGAGCGTGTTTCTGAGATTAGCCTGTGTACATTGGTTGAGTGTAGACTTTGTGGCTCACCTGTTTTCCTTTGCAATGTCTGTGCTCCCACAGGTGGGTTCGGTGGTGGCGGTGGGCTGGATCCGCTCCCGCAAGGCTGTGGACTGGCGCCTCTTTCGGAACATCTTCGTGGCCTGGTTCGTGACTGTCCCCGTCGCCGGGCTGTTCAGTGCTGCTGTCATGGCGCTTCTCATGTATGGGATCCTTCCATATGTGTGATTTGTCTTCTTCCAGCTGCCAACAGCTAAAGGGATTGTCTGGTGTGAGCATGTGGGAGACATGTGCCCTCATGCCGCACACACACATCCTGGCTGTGCATGGCTCTCTCATGACCAGCTCTCCGCCTCCCTTCCAGGAGGCTCCATCCCACTGTTCACCCAGGCTGCGGAGACTCACCTTCCCAAGCTAACTTAACTACTGTACATAATAATATGTATTAAACTGGTATCGTGGTGATATAATGTGGTGCAGTTACTTATATATTAAATATCTATTGTATCCATAGAATAGGTAGCATTATTTCAAACATATTCAAGATGGGAGTGGAGATCATTGCCTAGAAGTCAATATTCAGTAAATCTTGTACATAGCTATTTCAATAGCAAATGTTAAGCCTTTAAAAGGAAAGCGTAGATTGGAAAATAATTTTTTTCCAAATGATGTTTTTCCCTTCTAATATACTGTAAGGTAACGAGCTTCAGGACAGGTGACATGACCTATCAGAGGCCACATGCTGTGGGATGACAGCAGGACGGGAGGTCACAAGTGCTTTCACTGAAGATTTGTTCATATACTGTGTATTGATTCTTGTGTAATATATCATCATTGCTTTTGTAAATACGTAAAACTGTAATTTTTAATGGTGTGCTTCCCTTATACTTTTTGGATCAGAGAATTTTGGAAAGTACCAAAGAAGCAGGGGAATCATTGGCCAGTGTTACATTTTCACGTTGTCTGTCTCCCCCTCACTGATCATACCCGCCCTGGAGCAGCGTGTGGCAGCGGCACCGTCACCCAGCATGCGCCACACCGTGGCTCCCACCAGCAGTGCCGCCGCCACCGCCGCCACACACCAGATCCTACCCCCCCTGCAGTGGCCTTTCCTTGTCATCAGAGTAGAGAATGCACAGGTGTCAGTGAGGGCGTGCAGCCGAGCACTACATGTCAAGTCCAGTGTCACTTTCCATCCCAGTTCTTGCAGCCCGAAGAATGGATCCTTGTCTCAAATGTCAGTGCAAGGGAGGCTTTTTCTGTGCTTTGACATTCTAGCAGTTCAGGGACAGGAGGGAGGGGGAAAGCCGGACACTGATGGAGTATTTCTCTGAGGCCCACGCAAAGCTGGACACCAGGCTCTACTCTAGCCCATTGGAGTCTCTTCTTTTTTGATAGCGGGAGGGAGGAGGTGCGACTAATGTTGGAGCCTGAAACTATGGAAATGCTGCTAAAACTTTTATATTGACAAACATTTTCTTGGTACTTCATTGTGATTTTTCATTAATCAACCATATTAAATTTATAATAAAAAATGCCCCTCAGAAGTTTGCCTCTGAAGCATTTTTCTCAATATTGATATTTTTTTCTTTCAGAGTTTCCACAAAAAACAGAAGCCATATAATTTGGTCGTTGTATCCTTTGTTGGTTTCCCTTAGTTGATATGATGGGTTTGTACAGAAAACACACATGAAGAGGAAACGGAGGCACAGCATCCCCGCCCCACACTCAGAAACCTGCAGTCAGCAGCTTATGGGGTAGTGGGTTGCCAGGTTCTGGGCTGAGGACTGAGTGGGGAAGTGCAGGTCTTATCCTTTGCTCAAGCAGCCAAAAACACCCCGACTTGCAGCTTCTGGAGGCCCCGAGGGAAACCCCTTAATCCTCTGCAGCGACCACAGCTTAACCTCTGACTCCCTTATGAGCTGGAAAGGAGATGGATGAGGTGAAGTGGCAGGTGCAAAAAAATGCATCTCCACTAAGAGCGCTGCCCTTTCTGGTGTTTAAACAGCACCTTAAGCCTCCAGTGTCCCACTTCAAGAAAAGATTGATTTTCCTCACAAATCTATGTAAGTAACAGCACAACACAATGCAGGTGAACCTTGTGCAGCCCAGTCTGCGGGATTCAGGCATAGTTCCCGAATCCTGCCTGAGTTCACCGGCCTCTTCCTCTAATAATGCAGAGGCCTCAAACAGAGGGGATCCAGCCTGCTGCCATGCGATTCTGTCCACGAGATCCCTTTACTCCACCTGAGAGAACTGTCAGGGAGGCCTGGAGACTCCTCCCTTTCCTGCTAGCTCACCACCCCTGTCCCGGGAGGAGGGCTGCCACCTGAGAGCCCCACCTGGCCTCTCAGGCAGGACGCTTCCCGGGGTGAGAGGGGAACAGGCCACACTCTCCACACTGAGCACTCCCGTGACAGCACAGGCGCCCAGTCCGCCTGACCAGCCGATCCCCCACGAGGGGAGTCATGCCAGCTGGGACCCCTGCCCCTGCAAGGAGGCCCCTGTGGGTGGCTGGGGGTGCTGCAAGTCACTGGCAGGGAAGCAGAGTGTCTGGGAGCCAAGCGAGGTGGTGAGAGGATTTGGTCTGCTGAGGCCAAGCATGGAGCATCTTCAAGCCAGAGGGAATGCCTGCAGGGACTCCCTGTCTTGGGCCACCAGTTCTACCCAGAGAATCTTGCCTGAGTTCACCGGCCTCTTCCTCTAATAATGCAGAGTCCTCAGACAGAGGGGACCCCGCCTGCTGCCATGCGATTCTGTCCACGAGATCCCTTTACTCCACCTGAGAGAACTGTCAGGGAGGCCTTGAGACTCCTCCCTTTCCTGCTGTCTGGGCTCCTCTGTGGGGGGCAAAGTCTGGATGCTGTCAGAGGAGTTTGAGTGTGCTCAAGCGATTCCTACGCTTCAGCCTCCCAAGTAGCTGGGATTACAGGCACCCGCCACCACGCCCAGCTAGTTTTTTTGGATTTTAGTAGAGATGGGGTTTCACCATTTTGCCCAGGGTGGTCTCAAACTCCTGAGCTCAGGTTATTCACCTGCCTCAGCCTCCCAAAGTGCTAGGATTACAGATGTTAGCCACTGCTCTTGGCCGGTAATAAACTTTTCAGCAAATATCTAAACACAACAGATTCATTTTCAACAAGATAATTTTTAAGCTCTCCCCACCTCCCCTTCTTAAAAGAAGCTGAATTTGAATTCTTAAGGAGTAGTGATCTCAAGCTGCAGAATAAAAACTTTAAATCAGCATCGTTAGGATGACAAGTAAAGATCTCTGGCCTCTGGGTTTATTTGATGACAGTGAGGTGGTGAAAAGGGCCTCTGAGGAGCTCTCGAAGTGAGTTTTGAGGCATCCCAGGTGAGGCTGTCGCTGGACTGCGCTCACCCATGGGAGACCAAGCTTGCTGTTGCCTTTCAGGCTTCTGGAGTCTGGCAGGACCAGGCTCAGAGTTCAACTCCTGCTTCCCTGACCCTCGGCCACTTTCATTGCTCCTATTAGAGCCAGTTTTCCTGTGTTCAAAATGGGCAAAGGGAGCCTCTCCCAGGAGTGTGAGGATCGGGGCATCGGCATGAAAAAGGGATTACCCCAGGGCCTGGCCCCAAACAGGCTCCCCAAGCAAGCATTTGTCCCTCTCTTGTGGGCGAACCCTTTATTTTATGGGTGATTCCCCTCAGGAGGATGGCTCTCAGGAGAGCATTAATGGGATGTGGAGCAAAGGGAATAGAAAACAGTCCACAGTTAGTTGAACAAAACCACTAGAGACAAGGACGCTAGTGAATGGGTTCTCTGCATGCTTGATGGGGGACCAGGAGACCTGGAGAATGTGGTTACATAAGCGGGCAGTGGAGCTCTGCTCTTGGATTAACTGTCACCCTCTTAAATATTTTTATCCTTTATTGTGTTGAAAAAACAATAGGCCAGCTGCAGAGGCTCATGCCTGTAATCCCAGAATTTTGGGAAGCCTAGGTGGGCAGGTCACTTGAGGTCAGAAGTTCAAGACCAGCCTGAACAACATGGTAAAACCCTGTCTCTACTAAAAATACAAAAAAAATTAGCGAGATGTGGTGGTGTGCGCCTGTAGTCCCAGCTACTGGGGAGGTTGAGGCAGGGGAACCGCTTGAAACAGGGAAGCAGAGATTGTCATAAACCAAGGTCGAACCATTGGACTCCAGCCTAGGTAACAAGAGCGAAAAACAAAAACCCAAAACAATAAAAGCATGACTCATATTATGAAAAAAAAAAGTCACCTATATCCCACCATCCCGCCACCACCCTTCTGAAACATTTTCATTTCCCCCCCTTTTTTTTGAGGCCCAGTTTCTCTCTGGTTGCTCAGGCTGGAGTGCAATGGCGCCATCGCGGCTCACCGCAACCTTCGCCTCCCGGGTTCAAGAGATTCTCCTACCTCAGCTTCCCGAGTAGCTGAGATTACAGGTGTATGCCACCACGCTCGGCTAATTTTTTGTACTTTTAGTAGAGACGGGGTTTCTCCATGTTGGTCAGGCTGGTCTCAAACTCCCGATCTCACGTGATCCACCTGCCTCAGCCTCCCAAAGTGCTGGGACTACAGGTGTGAGCCACCACACCCGGCCTGCATTTCCCTTATTTCACTGGATCTTTGAAGCACTTGGAGCTGGCTGGCCATGGCAGGCACAAAAGCCCAGAATGAGAAAATGTTTCGGGCCAACCCATCCGGGGCCAGGGCAGGCCAGGCTTCCTGGCCTTATCTGGCGGCTTCCTGGCCTTATCTGGCGGCTTCCTGGCCTTATCTGGCGGCTTCCAGTTCAGCAGCGGCCAGGCAGGTCCACAGCTGTGGTCTCCATAAAAGGGATTGTGGGTAGGCCCATGAGGAAGTTCCAGGAAGGAGCACTGTGAGAAGTGCTTAGGAGCCTAGGAAGCGAGGGTGAGGGCTCATTCCGCCTGTTTCTATAAAGGAAACCCGAGAATTCAATACAACTTTACATGAAGAGTTTCAGACTCAACAAGCATGACCATCTGCTCTCCGTGTGGCTAGAACAAAACCTACTTACACAGCAAAAGGGATTTTGGCCAGAATAAGATGGAGAATTTCCTTGCTTTTCCCAACACTTGCCATTCCGAAGTTAAACCAGACCCTGAATTTAGAGACTGCAATGAGTGGCGGGGAGTGGGGCAAGGAGGTCAAAGCAAGAGGAGCTTAAAGGGCTCCAGGCAGAGCACGACCAGGAAGCTGTGGGCATCTGTTTGGCAGCAGTAACAGCGGCACCTGGTGGGGTCGAGTTTAATTGCAACTCCACTACCCCATTCCCAGGCCTGGACGCCCTCCCCAGGTGGACCGCCAGATCCCGGGGAGGAGCCGGGCATACAGTGCCTATGCAGCGCGGGAATGCCGTGCCCCGTCCTTAACGTTTCCTTCCACGTGACTGGACCCCATTTGGAATCCACTTTTGCTTCCTACACCCTTTAATCCTTTCCGCCAGAGAAAGGAGTGTATTTGATAGGTACGCTGGGGAAGAAGGAACTGGGCTGTTGGAGTTAGCCCCCCTCAGAGCACAGGCGCGCCGCCCCCCTCGCCCCCTGCCCCGTCTCCTCCAGACCAGCCAACCTTGGCGGGAGGGAAGGCCTGCCCGGTCCGACACTGCCAGCGATTCACCCTAAGCCACAGCCTCACCAGGACTTTCTCAGTAGGAAAGGCCACATTCATGGAGGTCTATCCAATCACACCCTAATTTACTTTTTTTTTGTTTTGTTGTTTTTTAAGAAATGGGGGTGTCTTTAGCCCAGGCTGGTCTCGAACTCCTAGGCTTAAGGGCTCCTCCGGCCTCGGCCTCCTAAAGTTTTAGTATTCCCGGCGTGCGCCACCACGCAGCCACAATTTGTTAAAAGCTTGGCGGGGTCGGCGGCACTAGGAAGGGCGCGCGGGGTCTGAAAACACCCCTCGCGCTAACACACACGCCTGCACCCAGAAACAGGCCATGGGTTACAAGGGAGGCAGCACCTGAGCGCCAGCACTGGTGTGGTGGGCAAAGGAAAAGCGGCTCTGCTTCTCAAGGGCAGCCAAGGAAGCTGCATGCGGAAGGCCGGGCTTGGCGTGGGAACCTCGTGTGTTTACAGAGAACGCTCAGGGCGCTGCTCAGCTCCAGCCCTTCCCGCGCTAGAAGCTGAGGCTCAGAAAGGTAACAGCGAGCCTCGGAGGACAGGCACAAGAAGCCAGACGGAACCGCAGGACAGCACCATCGCCCTCTGTCCCTCGAGCAGACCCTTGGCATAGGACAACGGTCAGCGAAGCACCGCTACAACATCCCAGTCACTTACTGGGTAATTCGTATGTAAAATAGGATGCGTTCACTTAACATTTGGCTCACGCCTGTAATCCCAGCACTTTGGGAGGCCAAGGCGGGTGGATCACCTGAGGTCAGGAGTTTGAGACCAGCCTGGCCAACATGGCGAAACCCCGTCTCTATTAAAAATACAAAAATTACCCAGGTGTGGTGGGGCATGCCTGTAATCCCAGCTTTTGGGGAGGTTGAGACAGGAGGATCGCTTGAACCTGGGAGGCAGAGGTTGCAG